TTAGAGCTACCGGGGAATACTTACAACGAGGCGAAACCTTCATAAACCAATTGAAGTGCACTGCGCAACACTAGAACCCAATACCAAATGTATTTTCGAAACCTTGAATATTCCAATTGCAAATGTGGTAAACTACGCTGTAGCTACAGACAAAGGAGTTGTCATCGTGAAACTTACCTATGTCTGGGTCGTTAGCGGCTACAGTTACCACGCTAGCTGTAGCATCATTCTCTGGAACGATGGCAGAATATGGCGCCCCAATAAACGAAGGGCGATCGTTAACATCCCTGAGTGAAATGACAACTACTGTCGTGTCAGTTAAGAAGCCGGAGTCTGTTGCTGTCAGGGTCAAAGAATAGCTGGGTGTTGTCTCGAAATCAAGGCTTCCAGCGACCTCTATGATTCCGTTGCTAAGCGCACTGAACAGCGACGAATCTTAGCAACAAAAGCAGACACAAATGCTTATTAATTGTTGCTCATTATAGCTTCTAATCCATCAAATATTTTCGCTTGTGCTTGATTGTTTAATCTTCAAATGTGACCAAGTGTGTCTTAGTTGAAACTAAGGGGAACATGCTGCGAGACTTCCGTAATAATATTCTCAAATTTTCAAACCTCACGTTCATTAACATGAAAATTTTCCTCTTTACGTGTAAAATTTGATTAAGGTCAGGAGAGCATTTTGCTAATTTTATAGAAGCAGCAATAATTTCGTTTGTTCCTAGAGTCACCTTGACTAGTCAAGTCAATATCTGTGTTACATTCTGCGCGCTGCAATAAATATTAAAGACGAAATTGTCAACCTGAGTTCAAAGTTTTTTTCTCTAGCTTCACATACAAAAACTGTTCGCTTCTCAGAGGACCCTGACAGTGTCTAAGGGAAAATATTCCAGCATATTTTCACGTCAAATGAAGGCTTATTTTTGTATGGCAGTGGTAGCCCTGAGGACAGTTAGTTGTGCTTGATGAGCATTATGATTTTATTTTCCATCGCTGTTACTTTAATTTCGTCGATATAATTAGCTTTCTTTTTAAACTCACCCGGGCCAGAGAGGGTATAGTTCAGCTTGTCGCCACCATCAGGATCTGCAGCAGTTATCGTAATGATGTCAACTCCAGGAGCACTGTTCTCTGCAATTTCTCCACTGTAAGAAGACAGCGTAAAGGTTGGAGCTTCGTTCACATCATTTACCGCAATAGTCACACTTGCTGTTGCTGTTTCACCTGCAATGAAGAAAGGAAATTAGTTCATGATAACGATTCTTCGGTCGTGCAGTGTGATCGTGCAGAGTATGATCGTGCAGAGTGTGCATGTGATTGTGCAGAGTGTGATTGTGCAGAGTGTGATTGTGCAGAGTGTGATCGTGCAGAGTGTGATCGTGCAGAGTGTGATTGTGCAGAGTGTGATCGTGCAAAGAGTGATAGTGAGGGTAAAAGCACTCAGTGAGTAATCCATTCCGGGTAATGGTGAGACCTGAGAAGGATTGTTCACCGGGAAAAAAATAATGAAGGCTGACATAAAACCGTTAGCATGGTCGGTATTCTTAGACAATTCTTAACAAACGCAAGTCCAGGTATGTAAATTTTATTAGAATATAATGATTATTTTCACGTTAAGATCAGCTAATTTTATTTGACTGAGAGTCCAGGTGAGAGTGATGCCCAGAAGGACTGGTGTCGGAAGCAGGCACTAACGTTTCAACAACTCTGGTGGAATTCAACATGGGACTACTTTGACCTGGACCGCTACAGTATCAGACTGGACCAGCAACTGTTACCCTTGAATTCAAACCATTTCAAGTATTCAGATAAGATCGGTCAGTAGAATTACGTTGTTTATTTTCGTGCGAGCGCTGTTATCTGTGCATGTAACTTGTACCGAGAACTAGTGCCACGCTTTCTCCAGTTTGAGACACCTTTTCATCTACGTTATCATACTACCGTGAATTGCTTCTTATAAGCTCTGGGGCCAGTTTCTCGAAAGTCCCGGTCACTTAAAAGGCCCGTAAAGCTGTTCTGTTTTCATTCAATATGCGGATTTCAAAAGTTTTGAAAATGATACAATAAAACTATCAACTAAAGAAACAGAAAGGAATGGTTTGGGTGCAAGAATCTGCTTTCCTATTCTTTAAATTTTGATTTTAAAACATGTCTTCGAGCCTTATAAGCGGCAGTTTACGGTATACCAGTACCTGAGGACTCAGCCTGGACAGTCAGGATGTACGAGTTCTGTGCCTCAAAATTTACAACCAATCCATTGGTTAGCACTTTCGTTCCATTCGTGCTCAGTTTGAATGGTCCCGCTGAGCTTATTATAGAGTATGTAACATTGCCTCCGCCACTGACGGTCGCTGACAGGGTGATTCCGTTCACAATGGTTTCCACGAGCACATTCTCGTCGACTGTCCCGCTGTAGGAGCTCAGACTGAACACAGGCCCGGCACCTAAGTACGAGGAAAGAGCAGGAAAAGTGAGATGAAATACTAATGATGTTTTTTTCATGAGACGCATCACAAAACTTCCAAGCAGAGTCGAGGAAATTGATCTTCCTAGGTTATTACGTGTATAAAAATGCTTTGGTCGTCTTGCGCAGTCCTATTTCATGAATGTTTGTGTTAATAGAAAGGAGGGCAACCAAATCTTTACGTCTGATTCTTACCCAGAGTGTTTCACGGTTTAGACAACTGGTAAACGTTCCGTTATGGAACAAAAAAATGTTGTTAAACGCGTCAGAAAAATCCATTCTTCCTTGCAACTCATGAGGCTAATTAAACAGTAACATATCAAGGAAACAAACACTTTAACGAAATTTTAGTTGTCTTTGGCTCCTTGTCAAATGTTGTTTATTAGAATGAAATCTTTAGCTCGGCTTTGACTCCAAGGAGTGATTTGGATCTTATTTCTCCCAACAATACCACCTTTTTTCTGTTTTGAGGCCTTATTTTCCCTACTGTTTAAGTAGTGTTCATTACGGCGAAGATCGCTTTCATATTCATTTCTTAAAAACCGCAGTTCACAGATCAGATTTTTACATATTCACAATCATTAATATCACACGTTAACAAAAGAGGGAAGTGGATCGTGAACGATGAAGAAGATTGAAACAGATTGCCAATGACAAGTTAGACTCAAAACTAAAGGTTAAGGCCAAATATTCCTCGATGCATTTTATTGCATTGTAGTTAACAATTTGCCAAAGGCAGATAAATTTACAATAGAACCGACAAGGTTGTCCCCTACTAGGTAAATTACGTTTCTCCATCCCCTATCCCAATTTCAGTAAACAGACCACACCACAACACCGGGAGCTACGTTCCCTACTCTTTGCGATAAGTGCGTGGGTTCTTTAACGTCCCCTGCTAACCAGTGCAGGGAAGATGCAGGAGACAGGGCCTACGTTATTTTCATCCTTATCCGAAAAGACTAGAATTTCTATCCATTTCTTGATATAATAGAAAGGTAGCACATTCTCCTCAGTCATTTTAAGACCCTGGGTCGAACCCTCGACCTCCCGCACGGCAATTTGGCGCTCTACCACGTCAGCTAACCAGGCAGCGGCTAACTGCTATAACCCTTAAACTCCCAGGATCTGATACTCAATTCTCCCCTCTTTCTGCTACACATTTCCGTGGAAGTTAGTTACGAGAAGTTGGTGTTAAATCAAGATAACAGCTTCTACCTAGTAAGTCTGAATATTCTGATAAACTGTTTGCTGCATGGACAATGTATGGATATCATATTTAACAATTATTCGCCGAAGGCGTGGTGAATATCGTCGAATAATCCCCTAGACGAAGTCGAGGGGATTATTCGACAATATTCACCGAACCTGAGGCGAATAATTGTTTCAGTATAATTTCAGAGGTGAACGACAGAGAAATTTCTAAAATTATAATATTTTAGTAACATTTATAAACATTCTATTTAAACATTTTATATGAACCACGTGGAGCGGTTTAGATTTAGTCATATAAGGAACCGCTAGACCAATCAGATTGCTGGAAGCTCTTTGCTCGGCTCCGAAATTATACGTCTAATGAGAAATAATATGTTTAATCACTTCTGGGAGTAAATGGTTAAAATAGTAACTCATCTACGAGTTTGTTAGACTCAAAAGACGCCTATTACATATTAAGGTACACGTAATGACCACCAACAAAGATAAACTTGCAAAAATAGTAAACTTGGAAAATGTGACAGTTCATGCACATTGAGAGAAGCAAAAAAGGATTTTTGAGAAAAATAAATCGCTTTATGCTTGGATATCAATGTTTTTAACAATTTTTGTCCTTAGTAGCTGAAAATGCACCCACGCCTAGTGAAGCGGAAAGTGATTGAAAAAAATGGATGTTTGACAGCGCGTACGATTTTTCGCGAATCAATATAAGCTGGTTTTACTACTTAAATCGCGAGCACTTTAGCAATGAAGCTTCGCTCCGACGAAGGCGGGCTAACGCTCAAGACGTTAGCTTTAAAAACTCTTTACGGTGGCTAATTTACATTACATTTATTTAGCAACTCGGTTAATAAAACCAAATAATCTTGTAGTACCCACCAACCGACGCAGTTCCACAGTTTCTTTGGAAACTTCCCCCTTTATTCTCTCAGATCGGCCCATTTAGTCACTGTATATTACAGACATTATGGAATTCTATGGGGGATTCCAATAAACGTATGATAATACCAAAAGAATGATTTAGTTTTTACTTAACTCACCGTGGGTTATCGGTACCCAAGCGAGAATCACGTAGAGCTTTAGAGTATCAAAAAATGATCTCATCCCGTGATTGATCGGCATGAGCTGGAGCTCGTGGTTCTTGATCACTTCATAGTTTGCTGAAATTGAGAACAACCTGACTTAGAATATTATGCTAAAAGCTTTAGAATTCGAAACTTAACAATGGCCAATTTACATTATAATAAATATTAGAAGAATAAAACTACAACGTTTCGAAGCCATCTTGACTCCATTATGTTGTAGGGGTGTTAGTTGTAGTTTACGGTTACCGGAAAAACCGAAGTTAAACACGCAGTCGGACTCAATACGTGCAAAAGTATTTATTTAAACATATATCGCACGCACTGACACGTCTAACACCAATGACAACGAAACACTTATTATTCTAATGTACTCTATCGCCTTCGTTTGTATTGAACCTCGAAACTACAACTAACACCCCTACTTCATAATGGAGTCAAGATGACTTCGAAACGTCGTAGTTTTATTCTTCTAATATTTATCATCAAATGTATTTCGAAATGTTGTCTTAATATAACTCAGTTGGCAAAGCCAAATTATCTTGCAATGCCCCCCACCGACGCAACACCAAAGTTTCCTCAGAGACTTACCCCCTTAAAGAGTATTGTGTACTAGCAGATAAATTTGAACACATCGCGGCATCCCTTAAGTTGTATAACTCATTATATCCATCGAGATGGCAACCCATAACTTACGATTACAATCACAATATCGTTTATACGTTGATAAGCACTCAACCAGAAATCATTAGTAGACACCTTTTGAATTGATATCGTTTCCTATCACAATAGAGAGTATTTTGTCTATGCATCAAAGACATTTTCATTGTCTATTATTCCACCTTATTATATGGCTGTGTTTCACAAGGACTGGGAACTACCGAATTTACCAATTTGATTGGCTGAAATCAATATTGAAAGCGGTCTAGATTTACCCATCGAGACCGGCATCTCGACCGGTCTAGAAAAAAAGATACAAAGAATATAAAAAATTGGCATATAAGACACAGCAATAAAATAAACATCTTATTAACCGAGCTAGGTCGGTTTGTATGGGAGAATCTTGACCTCGGTTGCTGGTACAGACCTTACTGCGTTCCGTCTGTACTGGCGACCTCGGTGAAGATTCTCCCATACAGACCTCCTGTTCGGTTAATAAGAACTAAATAACGAGCTAACACTCATGTTAATACATTGTTATGGAAACGGAAGTCAAGATGAGTTCGAGACCCTTCTACAAGAAGAAAAATTCGAAGAATTTTAGCATACGAGGGAATGACAAGCTTAGAAGACCTTTCTTTGCATATATTCGACTATTTTACTAGAAGAAACAGGGTTTCTAATTACTAGAACAACCAGGGTTCAAATTATCAGACTTTCTGGTGAGTTAATTTAGATGAAATATAAAACCGTTGCTCAATGTGAGCTTGTAAATGCATAAAAGAATTAGGTAGCTCTAAAAGATCCAAACCTTGGGATATCAAGGACAAGCAAAACTGGGAAATCGGTGCCCAACTGAGTGATGCCTCTATAATTTGCACCGTTCCTAAAATACTTTGTTGTGTAAGTATAAAACTTCGGACGCTCTAATTTATGAACCTGCAGATTTGTAATTCTGGAATAAAATTTCGAGTTTAATCGTGCCTCTCGGCAAAATGATTTGTATTCTTAAAGGAACGTTGTCTCCGTGTTCAAAAAGGAGAACAATAGCTCGATTCTGTCGTCCAAGGAGAAACGTTTTTACTTGTCATTCTTTTATAGCAGATATAACAGGTGATTGTTTTTGGGATTGAAAGCAGCTACACAATCGAATCTGATTTAAAGCTTACCGTCGGAATGGGTCCACTTTCCTTGGGCAAGGAGGGAAAGAGTATTTTCTGAGTATCACTGCTGTCAAGCTATTCCGTGAAGCAAGTTGATTCAACATTTCCTCATTTATCCCTCTCTTTAGCTTCGGTGTCTTCATCATGCAGCATTGCAGCAAATCAAATATGGCGCCAATCAGCGAACCGAAGCGAGGTTTCGTTGGTACTCAGCATGACGTCATATCAAGGAATAACATGGCGGATGTCCTGTCTGATTGGTACGACTCGTCACAATTTCCGATTTAGTGCTGTTGAAGCCAAGAATGGTGTCTTGGAAGGTTGGTATAACCATTTCATAGCGGTTGGTTGTTTTTTAAGTGGCAAAAGTGTTGGGCTTAACTTCAATATTTGGATCACATTTATGCTTTGTGTAAATTACCACTCGACACTAGTTATGCTTCAGTCAATTTAAACTTAACCCCCTACCCCTCATACACCCCAGGATATAGTTTGAGATTTATTTCGAATGACAAACAAAACCTTATAAATGTTCAACCATGTAGGAAAACATTTTATGGGAAAGAGAAGAATATGTCGGATTGTCCCCCTAATTAAGCTCGCAGCACCAGGGGCATTTAAAGATGTATGAGATGTAAATTCAGTGCACATTATAAAAGTCCTCATTACTTAACAGTTTTACCCAGAAATATTTGCAATCAATATGGCTGGGATCTTAGAATCTGCATTTAAGTCTGTCCAGGAAAAGTATTTGCCATCTTCAATGAATGCCCTATATTTCCAACAGACAGGCAATTAATATTGCAACATGCTGCATGGGACTTGATCAAGGAGCTGCCAATAATCTACCAAACCTCCACCAAAGCCCCACCTATCCTAGGGTGAAGACGGTTGGGGTTCCTTCTATTGATGCATTGCGGACAATTTTGTATAATTTAAATTTACTCGTTCAAGCTGTGTTGATTACATGCAAAAAGGAAATACATGCCCTAAATGAAGGATAATTAACAACTATTCACCGAAGTGGAGGTGGTTAGTGGTTATATTTACCGAGCTGTGAAGCAGCGAGGTAAATATCCACCGCTAACCACCGACACTGAGGTGAATAGTTGTTTTAGTATATACTAAAACAGTGAGATAATATACACCACCAAAAATTGATTTTAATTCATACAATTCCAACATTTCAACATTTTCCCGCGCGTAACGATCTAACGCGGCTTGGATCACGGTAAGTGATGTTTTGTTGTGAAAACTGCCGTCTCGTTTTTTTGCTGACAGATAAAATTTCTGAAGACATTTTGTTTAGCTCTGGTGGCGACATTTCTTCAAATGGTGTTGCAAACTCTTTCTGTATTTGAAACCATTCTGTAAAAAAAACCATTCAACTCTGATTTTGAAGTAAACAATTGAGGTTACGCAAGATTAATTTGCATTTGTAAACAAAACCTTTTTCATTGGTTTTTATCGATAAACTCCCGGTTACCATTACCTTTAAACACAGCCAAACCAAATTTAGTCGCTTTCTGTGTTTTCAGGGACCGCTTCGTTGTTATTTGAGTGATTTCTTCTCTTGTCACGGATGCAAACCGGCACGCCACTTTTTCTCGAGTTGCTCGGAGGTAAATAGCAAAGGATATTCGGAGTTTGACTAGCCAATCAGAGTGCGCCTTCAACGCTATCCACTGTTTTAGTATATACTAATTTTCTTTATAACTGCCCACGCTTTCCAATATACTGCGTCAGAGTGTTCCATTCCCCTGATTTGCTCATTGTTGGAATTCAGCAAGATATGTTAGGCTCAAAATGCAGAATTAGAGGCAATTGTAAAGCATTAAGGTGCTGTTTTGACATGGTGAATTTTAGAGAGAATACGAGAAGGACATAAACATAACAAATTCATTCAAAATCAGTCTTTCCTTTTTGGAGTAACTCATACTCCATTACAATTATTTGCATATCGAGGGTGAATTAAGGTTTGCACCTTCCTCCCATCTCTCATCAAGCCTGTAGGTCTTTTGATTACTTGTCTAGCCCCAAAATTCTTGTAAATCAACAGGATCAAAAATTACCACTAAAGATGAAATATTTGAAAAGTACTTTTCTTGATTGAAGTATTTCTCAGCTTAGTAGGTTTTTAAGTTTGGAAACGTTCCTGTGTTTTGTAAGTAAAGTTTGGACATCTCCCATCAAGAATTCACAGATCCACCCCTGATCTAATGTTGGATCGCTGTGCAGTTTTATTAAAATACACAGCCACTTTAAATTTGTTTCTTTTTTTTTGCACAGTTAACATACTACAATAATTGTATTTTAACAAAGGCATTAAATTGACCCACCATGGTCAGAGAACCCCCTACCTTTAAAGGTTAAACATTAATGAGAAAATCATCAAACACTGAATGGTGGAAGTAAACAAAATTAATTATATGTCACTTAGGAACTCTTTTTGCTTCAAAATTTTCTTACATATTTAAAGCCTTTCGCTCCTTGGAGAGCTGACTAATAAAAGTTTATTCTCCAAACAACATCAACATATTTTCAAGCAGAAAGAGCAATGGGAAGAGAAAATAAATATCATCTACAGGATATCCTTTGATTCAAAGCTAAATTCTCAGAACTTAGATAAAAGGAATGCTTGCGAGACAGTAAGGAGAAATGATACTGGAATCTTGGGAGTGATAGGGTTTATAATCGCCTCTTGATATTTATAGCCTGGTGACCATGCTGGCTTGCTTTAAGTACAAGACATTTGATTTCTAATCCTATGGAACATTAGAGCCCAGTTGTCAAGCATCAGATTTCAGCCCTGCTCCTGATCTCATGGGAAATTTTAGCTTGACTTATAAATGGAAAAAATTTAATTGTTCAAGTTTAATGTGGTACCCTGCATTAGGTGAAGTATGAATGCTTGACAAAAATTTATAGCCCGGCCTGTGACTTTAAAACAGTTCTCATTAACTGTCTTTTTAGACACTACTCTCTTAATAGCTAGGCCATTTCTAAATTACCTTTGGCCTCTTTTTCAAAATGAGGCCTGGTGCTAAACCATTCTTGCAAAAAATGAGTTTAATTTGCACGTGATTGAAAACTTTACTTATTATCATATGAAAGGATGAGCACCAGAACCCACTTTAAAAAAAAAAGAGGCAAAGGGTAATCAAAAAATGGGCTTTCAAGTTGACACAACAAGATTTTTCTGCATGTCAAAAGCTGAAAGGTGAATCAAGGTGGGTTCTTCCAAATCAAACAAGCGATGTTGCAAAAGACAGAGACAATAGGAAGAGGCTGTGATGTACTGTCTATGTATATCAATATAAATATGTATGTATATATATATATATATACATAAAAGTAAAAAACTTTATCCTCAAATCAGAGAGTGCTCTACAATCATGGAGCTTTGTAATCAATTGTATAGGAAAATAAAAATTGAAACTTCTCACTACAGAACTGTTTTGAAAGGTCTGGTAGTCTGAACAAAAGGAATGAACTGGCGAGCGCGTGCCGGCACTCAACTAAATACTTGATAAGGCATGCTTGAACCACCAACTTATAAAAGGACCGTTAGTCAACCAGTATTTTATGCACCCGACGAGAGAGGAGTACCAGACCCTTTCAAAACAGTTCTGTAGTGTGAAGTTTTAATTTCTATTTTCCTATACAATTGATTATATATACATAATATATATATATATATATCGTGTAAAATTTGACTTTCGTGAAACAGTGCTCAATACATAGAAGTAGAGTGGTGTATATATTGCGGGAGGAAAAAGACAAATGAACTATGAGTTCATCCCTACAAGCCTGTTTTGTGGTTATACCCACTTGTAAATCCCCTGATGAGTGGGCAACCACGAAACAGGCTTGCAGGGATGAACTTGTAGTTTATCTGTCTTTTTCCTCCCACAGTATTTAACAATTATTTGCCGAAGGTGTGGTGAATATCATCGACTAATCCCCGAGACGAAGTCGAGGGGATTATTTGACAATATTCACCGAACCTGAGGCGAATAATTGTTTTAGTATAATTTCCGATTAGAACAACAGGGAAATTTCTAAACTCATAACATTTTAGTAACATTTATTAACATTATATTTTAACATTTTATATAAACTCCATGGAGCAGTTTATATAGCATCATATAAGGAACCACTCAACCAATCAGATTACTGGAAACTCTTTGCTCAGCTCTGAAATTATCCTAAATATATATATAAATATGTATGTTATCACAATGACGAGGTTGAAAAAGCTCTTGAGCTTGAAAGTATGTACCTTGATATGAAGACTTCATATCCACAGTTTTTTTTTTTAATGCAGCAGTTAATATTACTTTGCAGAGTAATGATCAGGAGAATCTTTTCAAATATCAAGAGCTTCTTTGTTTGGTCTTCATTACCTTTATTCTCAAAGAAGGAAATGGATGCAAGTCACTCTTAGGGATTGAAGGGAAGTAAAAGGTATCAAAAGTAGGGAAAAGGAAAACCTGAGACTTTTTGTACAGAAAGCATAATTAAATTCGGGTTTCCTGCTGAATAACCACTTTTTTTTTAAAGCTAGATAAAAAATAATGGTTATACGGATTTCAAACACTAAGACTTACTCGATTGTGTGGTTATTTATAAAAACAACTTGGTTTGGAAACGCTGAAAGCACTTCACCAAGCCTCTACATCATTCACACAGACGGTGACGTGTGACTGCTATGTTGGGTACAGTATACCAGCTAAAAGATGCTAATTAACATTATATCAAAACAAACGATAGCACCTGTGGAAGGGCTTCGTTTTGAGAGCGTAGCCCCAGCAACACCAACACAAAATTCTTGAAGTGCAACAATCACCGAAAGGTCATTTAGGTACACGTGAAAATTTACCATATTTTGAAGCTATCATATGATTGGTTGATTGTGTTTGAGTAACTATGGTTACAGTATTAATTAGTGACGAAACGTTAGCTAGTTTCACTGCTTTAATAATTAGAACAGCGCGCGCAACATAAATTACCTCTGTGACGTCAATTAACTAAAGCTTCAATACCTTTCTCACTAACTGCGACAATGCCTTTCGTTTCAGTGTGGCAGGCATTTTTTGCCGTTAGTGCAGTCTTAATCAGAATTTTCGGAATTGGAACGGAAAAGATCTTGCAAGCGATGAGCTGAGTAGAAAAGGTATCTTCAACTTAGCATTATCAGAGTTTACGAGAAGCGAAACCCAAATTACTATCGGCTCAAGTAGTGCGAGAGCCACTCAAAACTACTTTCCTTCACATCAAACGAAAAAAACAAGTTTACAGAACACTTATTAGAAAGATGCTTACAATTTGCACTTGTTGTCAAGTAAATAGTTTCAGTATGGTTGATGTCAAGGTCAATAGATTTGAGTAAGGGGGCCATCGAGTCAACTGTGCAACCTCTTCAGATTTACGAAAAACGCTGAGATGTCGATCAGAAAGGAAATATGTTGAAACAGATCATTTATTAAAAAACAACGCAGGGTTCCCGCGCTCCTTGAAAGTCCTTGAATTTAATTTTTAGTTTTCAAGGACTTGAAAACCCTTGAATTTAGTCTCAGGTCCTTGAAAATTTCTGAAAAGTCCTTGAAATTAAGTGCAGATGAATCAAAGACGAAGTTTTCTTTTGTTTTTGGTGTTGAAAATGAAAGTTTCGCAGAAATCGTGAAAATGAGTTTTTCTTTTAAATCCCGCGTCCGATTATGATGTTTGACACGAGGTAAATAGCATTTCTGTTAGCTCCTATTTAATGCAAAAGGTCCTTGAATTTGAGAGCCAAGGTCCTCGAAAATGACCTGAAAGGTCCTTGAATTTGAGAGCCAACGTCCTCGAAAATGACCTAAAAGGTCCTTGAATTTGAGAGTCAAAGTCCTCGAAAATGACCTAAAAGGTCCTTGAATTTGAGAGCCAAGGTCCTCGAAAATGACCTAAAAGGTCCTTGAATTTGAGAGCCAAGGTCCTCGAAAATGACCTAAAAGGTCCTTGAATTTGAGAGCCAAGGTCCTCGAAAATGACCTAAAAGGTCCTTGAATTTGAGAGCCAAGGTCCTCGAAAATGACCTAAAAGGTTCTTGAAAGTCCTTGAATTAGGTTCTTGAAAAAGTGCAAGAACCCTGACAACAATTGGTAGCATTACAGCATTTGATTAAGTGCTGCAAGATCAAAACCAAGCCAACCATTATGACTGAAGAGAAAAAACAAAACAAAAAAAGACTGCAATGAGAACTTAAGGTAAAACCAAGCCCTGCTTCACGTGTGGGGAAACGACAGTGAACTGTTCGCAATTGCAATTGCCTAAAGTTTAAAAATAAGTGACGCAAATTTGCTAAAAGAATGCTTTATTACCTTGTTTTGCCAGGTTTCAAGTCAAGAGAAAAAATATATATATCTAGAAAGGCAGATTAAATTTACATTTGTTTCTCTCGCTCCGAATCTTTCACTGATATGGGAAGAAAACTCTTGTTTCGGACTTCTCACAGTTGCCAATAACTGCACAAGTTGTCCATGTATACCCGAAATAATACAGATTCTCAGAATCTCTTTCACCCTGGTTTTCTAGCAGAGCTTGACACTTACGGTAGCCAACTAGTCACAGACTAGTATAAGTTCAGTTTTGACTCGTGGTTTTCGATTTCCATTAGCCACTTTGGCTGGTAAACAAAGTGAACTTGTCTTAACGTCTAAGTTGTCACTAGCCACTGACTTGACTAGTAAGTTAAAAAAATTAAGAGTTGAGGTCATTCAAATGATTGCCGTATTAAGTCGTCGGGTGTCAAAGTCCTTAAGATTGCAACCACTGTTATTTTCCTTTTCCAGCTCATGTGGAAAAGGAATATTAGATTGGCTCTTATCCCAAGGAGGACCAAGATAGAAGAGACGGAAAAGGAGATTTGACCTTCATTTTGTTCTGAAGTATGGGAACTATTGCCCGCTTTGGAAAAATATTTCGGTACAGGACAAATAACTATCATGATGACACATGTGCTTCCACGTTCCACACAGTTGCTCCAGGGGCATGAAAAGAAAGCGGGGATGTAAGAGATGCAGAGTGTAGCAGGGAGACGGCTTAGGGGGTTCGATCCACAGAGAGCGCTCCTGAGGTAAGCAAGAATACAACTGACAGGAAATAAGTCATAGTAAGTTCAACATTTTTCTACTTTTCTTAGTGAAGGTAATAGGGGACAAATCACTATGACACGTTTGTATCTGCGTTCTACACGGGCGATCCTCGTCTTTCATATTCCGCGCGGTCGTCTCTCTGCTGCGCTCCGTATCTTTCGGAATGTGAAAGATGAGTAGTGTAGCAAAGAGATGGCTGAGCGACTACGATCCACTGAAAGCCATCACGTTAAAAAATGAAAATAACATTGTTTGTAATTCTGAGATAAGCAAGGATACAGCTGACAGGGTAACAGTAGGTATCCCTTGGTAATAACCTCGTTTGAGAGTCAAACTTAACGGACGGACGTTCGTAAAAACGAGTCCATTGATGTAACACTTGATGGCAGATATTAAAGCGATTCCTTTGCAACTAAATCGACAGGAAAGAGGCATCATAAGTTTACATGACATTTTCCTACTTTCTAGAAGGGTAGATTAAGCATCCATTTGGTTTTTATGGAATGGATATGATTTCAAGATCTGGTAATCAGCCCTTTCAGAAGGCGGAGGATTTAGAAGGGGACTGTTCGAGAAAAATATGAAGTCTGAAACCTTCAGACTTCATATTTCCCGGACATTCCCGAACACATGTCCCAAGGCAGAGATATGTGTTTTACACTTTTCTTCATTTTTAGAAAGTTAGGTTAACCCTTTATTTCATTTTTATGTACTGACTACAATGTCGAAATTAGAAGAACAATTTTCTAGAACGTATACTGTAGTTGGCGGTTTGTACTTCCAAAGCTGGAAAATCGTTTGCTTTCCAAAAGTTAGTAAACAATCTAAACTGTCGGATTTGAGAAAATAATGGAAACACAACAGCGAAGGATCATAACCGTTTAATGATTTTTTTACAAAATTTGACATTGAAATTTGTGTCGGACTGCCGGGATATATATATATCTAACAGTTTTGAAAGGTAAGAGGTTTCTTTGCCAAAATATTCACTGATTATGTTGGGTAGCTGGAGAACGTAGCGATGTCTGGTCAAGGGGTGGAACCTGCAAATGCCTACTAAGAAATAATCCTTACCCTGATATTGTTCTAAATTATGTGCTGGGATGCCACGACTTTGTTATCAAGCATTTTTAAAGAAAAAGTTTTTCTTGATACCATTCTCATTTATAGTATTATAATGATTTTTAAGCTTAAGTTTGAAAAGTATTATAATATTATAACTGAGAATGGTATCAAGAAAAACTTTTTCTTTAAAAATGCTTGATAACAAAGTCGTAATTTAACGAAACACCCCTCGTTTTGCTTTATTTCGCAGTGTCCACAATAGCAATTTAAATCCTCTAGCAAAATAATTTCGTCCGTCATTGAAGGTTTGTAATGTTATTTTCAGGGATTATTTGGATGTTTTGAAATGAACCATGTTTTTCTGGCAGCAGGTCATTTCTCTCTCTAATTATCTAGTTCCCACATCATCGACCTTCTTTACCCAGAGCTTAAACTTTTTCATATCACAATTGGGATAGAAGCGGTCGTTATGAGATAATCTTCACGATCCCATTAAGAAGTTGAATTCTAGATGTGATTAAGGAAGAATGATACCCTAAAGAGCTTTCTGTGGAATAATTTCTCGACAGACTGTTTATGCCAAGAAAGTAGTGCATTCCAAAAACAAGGCATG